CTTCACACGTCTACATGGGTGCAGGATAGTGCAGGTTGAGCCAAGCAGCCACGTTTGATGACATGAACTATTCCAGTTTGGACGAAATGAGTATACATATATGAGCGGCGGACAAAACTTCTTCGTGTCCCCAATGCCAAAAGTATTTTGGGTTGGCCCCCTATCAGTTTTGCAAGGTTTTGACCAATTCTGAAATAATTACAGTAAGGTGGCCCTCACTGAAGATTTGTCTGTCTGAAGATTTGTCTGTCGGATGCTCATATTAAAACATGCATATATACAGTATATATATATATAGATTCACGAATATATTACAATATATTATATATAATATATATATGACATGTTGTCCGACTTCCGTCCTTTGCTGAGGCCACCTGTCTCACCAGCTCATCGTTTGGTGTAGCCACCAGGTATCTGCCAGCAGTTTGTGCACCGGTGTAGTCATGTAAGAACTATATATTTCAGTGATTCTAGATTCTAGAGAGGTTTTATTGATCATGGTCGGAGTGAGGTTTCACATAGACAAGCCATTTGTCATTGGGACATTTCATCCCACATATAAAATAACACATGAAACATACGTAAAGGCTTACGATAGGTGGTTCTTTTGATCACTCTCGACTCACTCAAAGTGAAGGGACAGAACTGGCCACCTGAAAGCTCATGAGCTTCACGAAGCAAACTAATTGATAGCTTCTTGTTACTATAAGGTGACTTGCTACTAGTAGCTTCTTGTTACTAGTAGCAAGGTGCCTTGCTACTAGTAGCTTCTTGCTACTAGTAGCAATGCCAGGAACTACTAGTAAACAAACAAAGCAACGAATCCCACCTGAGCTTGCGCGCACAAAAATCCACCAGATCGATGAGTGCATCTCCAGCCTGTGGACCCGACCCGGTCTGCATTTTCAATTTCTGGCCTATTCTAGCCAGTTGCGTTGTTCCACCATGATGTGAATGTTTATATACACAGTAGATCGCAATAGCCTGTGCAACAAAGTTGTCATGCAATATGCCAGCAATTTTAGATGGACAATCAGCGTATCCCTGCTGTGAATCCCTTTGCTTTGACATTGCCCTCCAATGAACGGCTTCAAGAACAATACCATTCAATTTGATATACCGTTGTTGGAACCACATGAAATGACAGCAACAAACACCTAGTGCTCTGTGGCGTGCACTGCGTGCACAAACAGTTGACAACAAGAGCACACCAGGCTAGGATAGGTTAGGTAGCAAAAGGAGACCATATACGATTGTCTGCAGCTCCAGCTCTGAAGATCGCTCAGAATACTCCAAATTTCACAGACCTTGCCTCTTCACAGCTGGTTCGATGGTATAAACAAACCTCCAGCAAATTTGCCACTGAGGCCTTATCACAGCAAACAAGCTCTCAAGCGGCTGCCACATGCCTTACCTAGTCTGGACTGTAATTACTGCCTCAAAATCTTGAGGGCCAAGCCTCGTGGTAGACTGGAATGTACGTGCGAAGGGAGCTGAACTTTGCAATTTTGGCCTGTCAGTCAACTGGTGCGAGCCGTTTGCCGATGCCAAAAATGCCACCAAGTGGATCCAACTGTTGCCTTGCCTAAGAAGCTCTAGTAACAAACAAACCTGGTGAAGTGATTGTTCTCTAATTACAAGACAATTTGGACATGTTGTTTCTTCCTACTATATAAGTCTGACAGAATGAAATAAAGGCCTTTCTCAGGCTATGGTCACGCAAAGGATGTAATGTGGCGAACAGCTCCTGCAAGTTATGCTAAGTTGCTTTCCTCACTCGGTAATATATTGTGTCGAGTGCAGGATCTCTCAATGCCGGGAGAGTGCTCTGAATGACTTTGGTCCAAGGTAAGGCCTTCATCAAAGGCCAAATGCGCTCCTTCCACGCCTAAGTTACACAGAGTGACCTGCAAAAGCCTTGCATTCTGCATTCTCATCAATCCCACACTCCAGACACCAGCACTTCCAGCAAACAAGTTGCAAAAAAGAGCATCCCCAAGCAAATAAACTATACTGTATAGATTCATGATTCAAAATCTAGTACCAATTAAAACTAGTACCAATATCTAGTTCGCTGATGTTCAGAGTGTTGTGTCTATTCGCATCCTCGACGTCCCAAAAGCCTCCTGAACAGCTGGGCGCCTCTATCAGTATGAGGTCAAAGATCAATGTAGGCAACTGGCAATCAACGGAAGAATCGGCCATTTCTGTGGTCTATGGATGTCCATGAATCTGTCAACATTTGTTCATTTGTGAAATGGAACAGCTTGCGGACATGTCCAATTTCTATTCAAGTGGCATTGTCAGTTCAATATTTGCCAAATGCCTGGAGATTCCCTGCAACAGCAGGCCTTCTCTTGGGTGTTGAACTGGTCAACCACGTACTCATCCAGGCCCTCTTTGGCCTGCAAGGAAAGAGCAAAGAGCAATCTACTACAACACAAGGGCCGGCTGACCAGATTAGAAGCAAATCAAAAACAGTTTGGCACAGGTGCAACCCCTTCCTTCCATGATGTCAAACGGCTTGCGAAAGACAATAATGTTGCAAACTTGGTATACTTCGATCCTTTGGTGGTCCTCCATTGAAGGTCCTTTGAGTTGTGGTGCATGTCTGCCGAATGGGCAGTTCCAGAAAGCTAATGCAGAAACTTCCGTGCCAAGGTTTTTGGTGTCCTACTTTTTTCTCTCGCCAATGTCCTCCTGCCGTCCCATTCGGCCAAAAAAGGCGCGAATCTCTGTGCCTGGCTGTGCGCAGTCCAGTTCAGCTTCTCAACTCGCTCATGCTGCGTCAGCCATCGCCTCAGGTCACAGAACTCCACACTGCTGCAAGCATCCTGCAAATATCCTTCATCCAGGAGTGTGGGAGTTTGCACTAATGGCCTAAAAGCCAGCCGCTTAAGACTAGAGAGATTAGTAAGTAAACGAGCGTAATCCAGTGCAAAACCGCAGTATGTTCAGCAAAGTTTGCCAAACTATGCCAAACTACCAGTGCAATTGCAGTGCAACTGAACTGGCAAACAAAGTGAATGCTCCCAGGTTCATGCAAGAACTCCAGTTTGGCTTTCACCGGTACAATTCCTCGTTCAGACCATCTGAATCATCTGACATATCAGGAGACTGAGGGAAGAAGCTCCGTGCAAGATCCCTTGGGACGCGGCGGGTCACCCACTTGTTCCAACCTGAACTCCTCGGCTCTGCAGAACAAGTCGAATTGGGCTGATGCGCATCACGAGTCTTTAAATGCCGCAGCAAAATGTCGAAGAGTCTGGCGGAGGGGCGGGTTGGGGCTTTCCAGTGCCACAAGCGAGAGGCATCGTTCATGCACCAACAAACACTCATGGCACTTTGAAAGGGCAACGTGCGGCGCGAACAAAAACTAATTACGCTTAATTGAAAAACACTTTATGTATATCTTCCTGGAGACAAGCCGAGATCTTCAGGCGCATACCACTCTACAGAAAGTCGCAGCGAATCTTTCAGCATTAAAGTGTTTTGTTTCTTCGCCCTCTTGCATGTCCTGCAAGTCCTGCACAAAATGCTCGACTTCGAAAGGAGTCAGGTCCTGGCTTCAAATATCCGCCAAGTGTGACCGACACACCGAGTATTCTCTGATCTTTTCTGCCCATCTGAGGTTGCAATGTAATGTAAATCGAACCCGAAAGGACCATGGACCTTGAATCAAACCATATCAAATCTATGTTCAAGAATGGTGCTTGAGGAAGTGCATCATGCAATGCTATGAATACTGTTCCCAAACTTGTCACCAAACTGTCGCCATTCGATTCTCCTCAAAACAGGGCAAATCCTCAAAGTCCCCCGATGCGCCAGGCGCTGTGGGCGCTGTCTCGGGCGCCATCAGGGCAGTGGCTGATGCCTTTGGAGTCCCGAAATCTCTGTATCACTGGCTGTGTAGGTCACAACATGTCCAATTAGGATAGAAAAGTGAGTTCGTCGATTCAGTCTTCGACTTGACCGTCTAAATCAAGACCCTCTAACTTCACAGTGCGGAAATCTCTTCTTGCCTGGACCACATAGCGGGGACATGGACGTCGCTTGGTACTAGTAACAACGTCATCGCTACTAGTAGCACTAGTTACAAGTCTTTTTTGAAGCCCGCTCCCTTGTTAGTAGATTTACTAGTACGAGTAGTAATGCCCTTGTCTCTTCGCTTTGCTTTGTTGGACTTTGGCATTGAGGGCCGGGCTGACTCGGAGGAGAAGCCTATCTTCTCCACAGAGTCCAGTCCATCAAGGCCATCAAGCGTATCCAGGCCATCGAGAGTATCAAGGACTGGCAGGAAGGTGGCACCAAAATGCAAACTGATATTTCTGGGGGGAGGGCATTTGGCAATACAGAGTTGAATTGTGAAGGGCGAGCGGCGAGAACCATAACAAGTGCTGTTTGGTGGAAGTGGGTTCACCTTCCGTTACAAATGCACACAGCTTGAATTTATCAGGTGAAATAGATGGTCTAGCCACTCGCCGAGGCATTCAGAGTGCAGCAGTACAACTGGAAGAGTTCAGCTTCACTGGCCTCCCATTGGAGCTAGCCCGAGCACCAGGTCAAAACTGCAAATAATTTCAGTGGCTGCGTAGCAAACATTGGTTGAACATTTATCCAAATATCGATTGCAAGGTGCTGTGCGATCTTCTCTTCTTCTACGACACAGGCAGCAAGTAATTCCCAAAGCTGAGAGATGCTGCTCGTTGACCGTATCTGAACACCGAACACGAACCACCAAGTGCATGGTTAACTAGGGCTTTGGTACTACTGATGGTTCAAACAAAGTTTTTGGTCGTTCAATCATATAGCTTTATGTGAGATCATGATATGTGGCTTGCTGGAGCCAATAAACGCAATGGCCATAGCGGTGATATAGCGGTGTGAGATCTTCTTCCCTCACGGCGAGCAATCCTGAAAGCGTTCATGTCAAGAAATAGTTTCTCAAGGTTCGAACGAGCTGTGAAGGCTATGATGAAACAAAACAAAGTACAAGCCTCGATCTTCGAGTCCTTGATTCGGACCTGTCATTTCTTTCAATTGGACAAGGCGGCAAGGCGCTTTTTCTAGAGTCTTGTGCCCAAACCCACTAGATGGTGGTGTTCCTCCTTCATTGCTATTTATTGGGAAACCACCTTTGGTGAGGATGCTGTATTCACAGATTAGACTCCCACAAGGCCCTATATTTCCTGTAATGTTTGAGTACAACAATTGTACAACATGGTTTATATAAATCCAAAATTGTTCTTGTTGTGTGATGCTGCTGTGCCTTCATTAGATCAAGCTGTACACGCAGTCTGATTGAGCTACGGGGAAGACATATTTGCCCATTGATTGAAATCCTACCCAAGATTGTTTTAGAGTGTCTAGCTCACGTGGGTCATTTACAGACGTAGTGTAGAACTGGGAAAAGTTGAAAGCCACTCACTGAAGTTGGCAACCCAGGAGTCCACGTACCTGTCATGTATTGGTATGAGCATGTATGTGAGCATCTATGAGACAGATCGGTGCGCTCAGAGCGAAGAACTCTGAAGCATGGCACCAGCTGCTCCAGTTTCTTGATCTTTTCGGTCATGATCCCAACCTAAGACTCTAAGAGATGGACAATGAAAGTTGGTGGGCTTGTCCTGAGAGGGGAGGTCAGTTTACGGGGAAGTCACATGTACTGATGGCTGATGGACCCTGTGCTAGCTCTGCAGTTCGTTCACATCTAATTACGCTCATGTACTGCTTGCACTGAAATCACCCAAAGCAAGAGCTAAAACCCTCGCAGCATTCATGCTACATCAACAACACGATCAGTTCCTGGAACTCCATTTCATGAGATTCAACATTGTATAAGTAGTATTAGACAATCTATTCGAAGTAAAGGCCCCAGCCATCTCACGCAACTCGGCAATGGCCTGTTCCTGCAATGCTCTTTCATTCATAGGTCTCTGGATTCTCTACATATGGAGTAGGGTCACAGCATAGCACTGGTGACCGGTAACATTTATCTGAAGCATCTATCTAGAATCAAAAGCATTCCGCCGCATAGCAATCGGGGGCTGGCCTTGGAAGGCCGGTAGCTAGTGGCATGTAGTAGCTAATGTTTCTAGTACTTAGTGGAACTATGATGACTCAAAGGTAAAAGTTGATGTATTCCGTTTGGTTCCTACCCTTTACATGTCTATTCTTTAGAAGAATAACACATCTGGCTGTCCCGAGGTGCTGCTGCAAATCATGCAACTCGTCTTTAAGAACATCTCACTCACTAATGTACAAGTCACTCCTTCTCCAAAAGAAGTTCAGTGTCCACTTCCAGCTGCGCCCTGATGTCAGAACTGGAAAGGACAATCGGACACACCCTCTAAGACTCTTTGGCCTAGACACCATTGTCTGCGATGAAATAAACACGGCGTGTTGTTCCAAACCAAAAAGACACATTGAACAGCTCGACTTCCTTGCCTGCAGTTTGATCAGATTGCAGAAATTGCAACACAGTCACTGACCCTTAAATTCCCTGTCTCGCTTGCACTTGGTGTCCGGTCCCAAAACTGCATGCCAACATGTTGTTTGTATATTTATTGGTTTCATCATGTTTCATGTAATAAGCTTGCCCAGGCAGGACTCTGGTTCAAGCAGCCGGACTTTGCTGACAAACCAAGCTTCGTGCTTCTGCATTCTGGAGGGCGGCATGGGAGATGCCTCCTGCCAAGAGTGAGAATCCGTTTGAAGCCAGTGTCATTTGGTTCAAACAAGTTCTGTTTATGCATCAATGACACCTTTTTGTTTGGTGCTCAAGGGATATGGTACTGCCAGTCCTGGCCACGTGCAGATCCTGCCACACTGCTCCCGCCACTGCCAGGAACAGGGGCTGGTGGCCGGCCTAGAGAAAATGTGATCTTTTTGAAAGTGACATGTGTTCAAAGCTCCACCAAAAATCTCAGCTGGACTTTTAGCAATTTACATGTGGCCACAGTTCATACAACCTATTCTCAGGCATATTAATCATGTACAAACATCTCAAGATTTGGGATGCGCCTGTATGAAGATGATGTGCTCTTCATTGGTCTTACCCCACAACGATGTCACTATGAGAGCAACAAACCTATTAGTACCGGTAATTGTAAACCGATGACGAACCAGTCTGTCAGCTATATTGTTGTTTCATACAATCTTTGTGGAGCCTTAACAGTTCAAACAGCAAAGGCAGGCAACACATGAAAACAAACAACCACGTTAAACTATCGAACCATATCTCGTTTCCTCCCTCCAGTCTCACTCATCCTCCTGACCAACGTCTAGTGCACTGTTCCACCTCGCCCACCCACCGTTCCAAGCCTCTGCTGCAATCTATGATAATCTATGCGTAGAAATTAATGATGCATTTGCATCCCTTCGTCCGCTCCATCTATCTTATTCCTCCTTTCCGGTCCTGTCTTCCTCCTTTGAAGTTGTCCAAACAAAGGGCTAAACGGACTCTGGGTTGCATGCACACGCTGTCTTTCCCATGGACAGTGTAAGAGTGCAAGCGGCAGAAGCTCAGGCAACCGAGTGCAAATTGATGGCATGCTGCGGCCGCGCCGCCAGCAGCAGCTTTAGCAGCAATGGCAGCGGCAAAGGGGGCAGCGGGGCAGAAGAAACAAGACTGACCACGTATCACGTCACGCTCACCACCGAAGACAACAAACAGCGTTGACAAGCAGGACCAGGACCAAAGCAAAAATGAAAGAAATATTGATATATATATATATATGTTTTGAAAGCCAGATATACTAATTGTAACTATTATATAAAGTAAATGGAACCACGTGACAATGGCGGCCCAAACATTTGGGACAAATGTCCGCCTGGTGTGCCCTGGGACGAAGCCCTTGGCATGGCAACCTGTTGCACAGCTGGGAATTTGTCTAGTCTAGAGGCATTGATGCCTCTTTGGTAAGAAGAACTGGTGCTTGTCCCAACTGTTGCTTGGATTGTGGCTTCACTCCTCAATTCTTCAAACTATTACCGCTTGGGGCCGTCAACCCAGGCTTAGGATATCGACACTGGCTGGAGAGATGCGGTTTGATCCACAGCAAAATTTGAAAAACAACATACAGTAAATTTTGCATGTCTGCGGAAAGATACGCAAAGCAGTTTGTCAGCCCTTGATCCTGCTGCCTTTAATTGGCGGTTGGCTGCCAGGTCCACCTTGGAATGGAGCACAGCAAGTACCTGGAAGTTTTCTGTTGAAAGGAATTGAAAGGCACCCCTTCTCCTTGTGACTTGAGTTGAAAGTAATTACGGTTCATTCAAAAATCAGTGGCATGCATGAAAGTGCATTCTGTGTGCCATTAGCTGTGTGATGTGTCACTCGGCGGCACTCGTTCCACAGCACCAGGAGCAGCTTTGATGATGTCTTCCAGGTCCTGTCTCTCGAAAAAAGTGTTCTCAAAAAGCGGCGTGCAGCCCGACTACAAGCAACTCATAATCGGACCATATCGGACGTAGACGTAGATGCATGGACCTACCTGGGTTTGACAGGTGCAGCGCACCTGTTGATGAATCTGGTAGCCCAGCTTCTTCAAGACCTCACAAAATGGCATCGCAAATCTCTGCTTTCATAAGGGTTGGAGTGGATTGAATTCAACGATGCACAAGAACAGCAAAGCACTCTAGAAGATGGCTTCAGTTACTGTACCTGCCATGACAAGTGGAACGCTGGTGGTGCCCCTACAATGCTTATCATTCATCAAGTCATATTAAAGCACTATCGGTTGAACGAAGCCTTCTGGTTCAGTGTATTCCAGTTGTACCTCCAAGCACGAACTCTCAGGCTGAGCTAGTTTTGGCAATCCAAAACCCGCACATTTCTTGAAAAAGAAGAAGACGTATCTTCAAATCATAGGACAAAGGTCCACAAAAGTTCTTGATTGAGTGAATGTTGTCAGGTCGCGTAGTCATGCTTTGACTGCAATCTGAAGTACATGTGCATTGGGCACATCTTCTGCGTGTATCCATTTGCCTCAGAATTGAATTGCGCCGTTTGGCTAGTTGTTATCTTCCATGGGAGAGGACTGTCATTAATGTAACCCATGCAAGTCCCGGCAAAGCCAGTCCTGGCAAGTGCTTACGAGCTGTTCTTGTGATGCATCATGTGCCCAGAAGTCTTAGATGTCTTCAAAGTGTCCCTTTTGTCCGATCATCCTTGTTATATAAGTGTGTAGAAGCTTGTGGGCTGCATGATGCTACTAGGTTGGAGGCCATCGCTATTAGGTTGGAGGCCATCGCTACTAGGTTGAAGGCCATCGCTATTGGGGTTGGAGGCCATCGCTACTAGGTTGAAGGCCATCGCTATTAGGTCGGAGGCCATTGCTATTGGGTTGGATCCTTCAAACGCTCAAAATAGCCATGACCAAGGAACAGAGCTGTAGTTGTGCATTTCCACCAGCCTATGCAGGGCATTGCACGGGCAACCAAGCGAACTCTTTGTCAAGTACTTGCTAAGCACTTTCCCTCCACAAATAAATCTCCACGGTTTCCAGACTACATCAGTGTTCTCCTTCTGACGCTGCACAATCCCGGAGCTTGTGCCTAGGGAAGAAATGATTCACGACTTCAGCAAAAAGAACCTTGGACATTGCAACGTGCAGGAAACACGGAGGCCAACAAAAAGCACCCATAGTTTGTAGGCAACCATTGCATCTCATGCGATGGGCTGCCTTGGCACTACTTTGAGGTTCTCTTGAACCCCATTCTATCTTGCGTCATTGTGATTGCGCTGGGTCTCAAAGCAAATGCATTTCTTTCTAGAGTTGACACCTTGAAGCAGCAAACTGGAAAGTGTATCACGATGATTGGCAAATTCTTAGCTCGATCCTGGGCATTCCTGCACCATCTGCAAAGTCCCTGGAGATATTGCGCTTGGGCCGTGAGAGCGGGATCTCGTCCACCTGCCAAGAATAAAACGCAGGATCCAGATGACCGAATCCATCGACAACACCAAACAAACTGCCAGAATCTCCTGCGCTGCATAGCATGTCAAAAGCATGAATCAGATCTATTGGAAAGTAAAAAGCAACCATATTGGGATGTTACAGGGCGGGAAAGGAACAACCCTTTGGGTTGAATGAGAAAAGGGTTTGAAATAATGTGTTTGCCCTACATGATGTTCTCTGGCAAGGTAGCACTAGAACTCTCCCCATCCCACGAGTCATTCCAAATGAATGCAAACTCTCTGACGGAGTTGAAGTTCAATTGCAAAAGATGGTCTTTTGCTCAGCCAAATAAATGAATGAATGAAGCAAGGACGCGACTAGGAGCAAAGGGCATCGCTACTAGGAGCAACTACGCTACTAGGGTTCCTGGCCGTACTACTAGGAGCAAGGACGCTACGAACGGGGCAGGAACGAACGGATTTCCTGTTACTAGCGTCCTTGCTCCTACTAGTAAGGCACTTGTTACTAGAAGCGATGCACTTGTTTCTATGAATGGGATCCCCTCCCCAAACTTCAGAAACATGATTCATTCAAATCGGAATGGAACAAGGGATTCTCACAGAAATCAATACGGGAAACACAGCCCACTTCAACATTGTGATAAAATATCAAGGGCAGGGGATCCCAGGTCCCATCCAGCAGTCTGATCACTCACAATGGCGTTAGGCTCGAACCCTGCTTTGTCGCAAAGCAACCAAATACACGAATACTGACGAAGCTTCAAGTGTTGGTTCCAATACATATTATCTATATTCCATGCACCCTTTACCAGGATCCGGACCCAGTTGTACAGTGCTTGCAGATCCTGAATAGACTGCTTTTAAACGCAACTTGCTTCAAGCAAAATATCAATGTCGAGAAATCGCATGAGCAAATGTGTTTCTGTCATTTTCTTTGACACATACCGCTATCCTCGTCGGTCTCCAGCGCCGGTGCGATCAGGCACTGCAGCGACTGTGCCATCAAGAGGAGCTTTGATCAGCCTAGGGAATCCATCAAATACAAGAGACCATACAAACAATGCAACTTTGACAAAATAACTCGGAGTCTGCACAAAGAATGTAGCAATCTAGCGAACGAGTGTGATGTGCCTGGGCCTGAACCTTGTGCGCAACTCTTTTTCATGCTGCACTTCTGGGCGAGCATTTCATTCATTGATCGTATGCTTCAGCAATGCCCGCCTCGCCCAAACTGCACACAGTATCAGCTTACTCAGCCAGCACAGCCTGGTGAATGCCACCCGAAGAAAAAATGGCCACACAAATTTCTACTGTTTGAACACGTTGCTGATGGAGCCGCGTGATGGCCGTGCTGAGCCGTCTGCAAGCCGTGCTGAGCTATGAGCTATACTCTGCTGCTGTTGCTCCACACCTTTCCTCTGGAATGGTCAGTCCTTCGAGGCGTTGGCATCCTCGGTGTCAAAAGTTGCTGTTGGCCAAGTCAAACTCGCCCTTTAGCAATCGCAAACAGCGCAATCTTTTGTTTGATTACTATCTACTCCTCCAATGGCCTTGGTCGCCAGAATCAACTCTTTTTGGGCCCTTCTTGGCCCAGGCCTGCTTTCTCTGTCCCCTCACTGGAATCAGCAAGTAGTCACTAAGTAGTCATTCATTCGAAGTGCAATGCTTATGTCGATGGACTTGCCAACAAATATAATCCTTGAAACTTTGCCAATGACCCAAACAGTCAGACTTTGTGAAGACCTTGGACCTTGGTCTACTCTGGCCAAGAACTGCTCCGAGGTTCGGTTGAGCCCAAAGCAATCCTGAGATCTAGAAGATGCGATGGTGCGTTGTTGACTGCAAGCTGCTTTGCTGCTCAGTCGAGAAATTCCTTCATATCCATGTGACATGTCTTTTTGGTTGCGCATCATTGAATGCCATGTTGATGTAGCATGAGACAAAGCAAAGGTATCTGGAGCCATAACTCAATTAGCTGATGTACCAAGCACCGGTGTCGGGGTGCTGAATCCAGTCAACTCCGCGAATGAGTTCAAGAGGCGCTTGTCCTCAGAGTTCTTTGAACATTCATGACAAGACCCACTTGTAAAGAAAATTGCATCTATAATTATCTGTATATTCCTTTGCGTATACTTGTTCAGAGTAGTCCTCCACAATGTTTGAGGAAAAACGAAGGTAAGGACCCCTTGAAGAGGGGCCTGACTCATAAAAGGGGCCCGAGCAACTTCTTGTGTCTGTTCTTGTCCTTTTGTTATATACATTATGGTGTTTTCCAATTGATGTCTATATATTTCATACTTTGTGTTACTGTGTTACCTTCTTTTTACCATTTGCAACCCAAGATTCCCCAGGCTAAGGGCCAGCAGCCGGGCGGCTCACAATTGCAATGCCAAGTGAATCGTTCTGGGAAGAGACCCATCATCCCTCCACCCTGAGCGAAGGTGCACAGGCAGCACGAATTGGCATAGAATTTCATTCATCCTTCATTGAACTGCCCCATCAAGTACTGAACAAAAGCCATGATTCTTACAATTTGTCTAGCCAATACTAAACGTTTAGCTGGGAGCAGCACTTTTAACGTTTTGTGGGCGGATGGGGATATGAGCGGCCTGTTTTTTTGTGCCGCTGGAACCCCTGAAAATATGTATTATTCTATGATAATCAAGCTGGAACATATACAAACTTCAATATATATATACTTTTCATGTTCATCAAAAAAGTATGGATCCTGTGCGCATTTGTAGTTTGCCAAGTTTGCTAATGTTCAATCCTTTGCACAGGCTTTTCGTGCTTCCCCATGGCCAAAACACGTGTCTCCTTGTTCTGGGATTCGGTGTTGATTGGTTTAAGCCATTTCTTCCAAGCAAACCTGTCCCAATCGGCCATGGGCTTGCAGTTCAGTGTTCTGATCAAGCTCTGATTAAGTATGTTAGTCTAGTTTCCGAGCGGACACCGTTGAGACTAACCTAGACCAAATTCAGATGTGCCATGGTGGGCCCTACGGGTACTTGGCATGGTCCATGTTAGCCTCCACCGGGCTATGTTGACCTCTACCGGCTTGGTGTATGTTAGCCTGCGTTCAGGTTATAGTCAGATTTGCAGTTGGTCCATGCTAATGTCAAAATCGATCATAGACTGAGAGTGGGAACGGTGCATGTTAATGAGGGTCCAGAAAATGCCAAAAAAAACACTAATACCGTTTCCCCAAGAAGTCACCGTTTCCAGTGGTCCATGTTAAAGCGCACTTGAAATCGAGTTCTGGTCTATGTTGTTTTTCCCCGGAGTAATAGTGTTAAAAGTTGAAACACAAATTATGCCTCATTGACTGAGGACAAGGGTTGGAAAATGTGTCTCCCGGATCTTGTGCAACACCGCGGCACGTGATTTGGCCACCGTCGCACCTGTACCTCTGGTAAAGTCCTGAAGCAGGGCCATAGGCTAGCTGATCCGAAGGTGCTCAAAGAATGGCACGCAGGCTTGGAAGTCAGAAAATGATAAGAAAACACATGAAAACACAGTAAGGGGCCCTTACCTTCATCTTGTTTGATCGCGTTTTGTGCGACCGTTTAAGAATATTTTTCGCTGCAAGCGTGGCGATACAAGATTCATCGATCGCCCAAAGGGATCTTTATCCTCTGGAACATGAATTCTGCTAGCGCAATGCTTGACCTGAGATGCTACGACTTCAGCTTGTCACGACTTGCGTTCAAAGCAAGAACGCTACTAGTAACAAGTGCCTTACTAGTAGTAACAAGTGCCTTACTAGTAGTAACAAGAACGCTACTAGGGGCAATGTTACACGCATATCACCAGATTCAGATTGCAGTCCTGTGGATGAGATAGAACCAGCGAGTAACCGAGCACATCTGGGTATCAGGTGCCAGCTTCCCATCGCGCTCCCAGGCTTGATACTCCGGGGTCTCGGGTCTAAACCTGCAAGAGTAGTTTGTCACTGCAACAAGGAGGCCATCGCTCTTAGGTTGGAGGCAAGCGCTTTTGGTTGGAGGCAATCGCACCACTCAACATCTCTCAACATCACACTCTATCACGCTTCACCTCCCAACGGGGCGTTTTCTCTGGGAATCAACCTTCTCCAATCCGCATAAATTGGCAAAACATAATATCCTTCGATAATCTTCAAATTCGATATCCGCCGACCCCGGCCTAGCCAAAGCCTAGGCGGGGAGGCGCCCGAGACACCGCAGGGTGCAACATTGGCATTGGCATCTCTACCTCTGCTTTCATGTCCTGGCATTGGCATCCTCTACCTCTGCTTTCATGTCCTGGCACTACCACCAAGCCGTGGGCGGTTCATGTCCTGGCCGAGCCACCACCCCGTGGGCTGTTGGCTTTTTTGAGCCGGAGCCTTGGGAGTGAGCCTCTGGCAATGCCAGGCAACTAGAGCCCTCACTGCGAAACCCGCTGGTTTGCTGCACGCGTGCACCCCCCTGAAAGCTGTGGCGACACAGATTGGCGGAGCCTTGGGAGTGAGCCTCTGGCAATGCCAGGCAACTGTTTTATGGGCTCCCGAAGGCGACGTGCCAGGTGACGTCAGGTGTGACGTCAGGCATTTTGGTTGGCTGCACCCCCCCCCGTTCCGACCGCTCTTGTGGGCAGAAATAGATGGTGTCGTTTGCCACCCCAGAAATGCGCCGCTGCGGCTGCATTCTCGGCGGCACCAAGGCGAAGCCCTTACAATCCGGGCGCCGGCCACGCGCACGTTCCGTTGCCGGAGGCCTTCGGTTGGTAACCGACGGTTATATACGCTCGCCGCCCCTGCCGCCGACCCTTTTGTTAGACCGCGGGGATACCTCAGGTCGAATCCGGTCGACAGATTTATATGCTATCCGGCCAGGGAACGGGCACCGTCTACCAGTTTTCTTGCGCATGATGTGGAAAACATCGTTTTTTACAGTGTTTCGTGGCCTTCGGCGGACACGACTTTCGCCTAACAAGGCGCCGGTGGTGTCGGTTACGCGTGCCGCGCGGACAGGCTTCATCGACATTTCGTGGGTGTTGGGCACATAAGTTGCCTAACATCTCCCCAACATCATAGGCCGAAGATAGCCAACATATCCCCAACATAGCCTCCAAGATGGGCCAACATAGGGCCAACATAGCCAACATGGGGCCAACATACGCCAACATAGGCCCAACATAGGCTCAACTTGGGCCCAAGATGTGCCCAACATAGACCACATGGGCTCAACTTGGCCCAACCTAGGGCCAAGATGCGCACCAGATAGCTTAACTTTGCTCAATAGGAG